GGTTTACGCAAATATCATTGCCCATAAACCAAACAGATCGCTTTACAGAACTTGTACACACACTCCTGCACGGTACGCTCTGACATCCTCAAATACTCGTCCCATTTGTCTGCGCTCATTCTGTATGCTAACCGACGAATTGCAGCCTTGTATTTTTGAATTGGAGAGAAACCTTTTATCCGTCTCGCATCCATTTTCCATTGGAAATATGGAAAATGGCCTTCCAAATCGCCAACAATACGTAAGAATAGTTCATTCCTCATCCGGAACCGACGTCGAAACTTTACAGCATAAATGGCGTCATCTGCAAAGTAGTCTTCTATAAGACGATCGTGTCCGGCTTCGCGATTTCTACGCAACGGCGGGTTTCTTGGTTTAGATCGTGCACGTGATGTTTCGCCTAGTCGGTTTTGAAAGTATGCAACCGTTTTTGCCATGACGGAACCGATAAGCTTGGCCTCCTCTTGAGCCGTCGAATCGGATGATGAAGATGATGACATTTTGATTAATATTTTTTGGAGAGAGTAAGAAGGTATGGGTTAAAAAAATGTTGGGTGTCATGGTATTTATATTGGGGGAATAGAAAAAAAAAAAATATATATATATATATATATATATATATATATATAACCGTTGGAAAAAAAAATTAAACACCGATCGGAGTAGGAGTGAGAACGCGGCAAACCCACCCCCTCCTCCTCCCCACGCATCGCTTCCCACACCCCCGATGCGGTGTTCATCGGAGCGGGAAAGGCCCCGCCCCTCCTTCCCGCACCGGCTCTGTCTAGTCTAATAACATGTGATAACACCATTTATTTTCTATTTTATTTTTTAATTTTTTTTGATGTTTTTCTTTTCTGTATTTTGAATTTTTCTTATTTATATAATAATAATTATATTTATCATATAAATTAAATCATAAATTAAAAACAACATTTCAAAAGTAAAAATAAAATTTTAATAAATCTTAAATTAAAAACAACATTAAAAAAAATTACAACAAAAGACAAAAACATTTGAAAACCTAAAAAACAAAAAAAAAATGATGATAAAACCTACATTTTTTTGACCTAAACTATTCATCTTCGTGACCAACATAAATGTAATCCGCCAAGTCTTCACGGAGTTGCTTGTGTTTTCGTTGGTCTTGAATATCAATCACTCTATGTAAATATTTCGATGTCCCTGGTTAAAATTGCACGTGTCTAGGTTCCGAGGCGAATACGCTGCAATATTGCGTCCTTTATCTTCGACAACCATGCTATGCATTATGATACATGCATACATGATATCTCGTAGAGTATCTAACTCATAAGGTCTCGCCGCATGTTCAACTATGTGTCATTTTGATTTCGAAACCCCAAAAGCACGTTCAACGTCCTTACGTGCTCCTTCTTGTCGTCTCTTGAAATATTTGTCTCATGAGTCTATTGGGTGTCGAAACGCCTTCACAAACGTCGAATATGGTAGATATATTCCATCTGTAAAGTAATACACAAACTTATATTCATTTTCATTCACTGTTAAAGGAGCATCCGATGCTTTTCCTGACAAAAGATCGTCAAATATTGGTGATTGATCGAGAACGTTGACGTCATTGTTGGAACCCGCAAACTCGAAATAAGCATGCCAAATCTGAGAATCTTGTGAAACAATAGCCTCTAATACCAACGAAGGCGCTCCATGATGACCGCTCGAATACTGGCCTTTCCACACCACGAGTCAATTTCTCCAGTTCCAGTGTGTGCAATCAATGCTCCCAAGCATACCCGGAAAACCATGTCTTTCTTCATGCGCCGCATATAATTGTTGCATATCATGTAACGAAGGTTTGCGCAAGTATTGGTCATCGAAGGTTTCGACAACACCTCTAGCATATAAATACAAACTTTCTCGTGCGGTCCTCTCAGACATTCTCATATAATCGTCAACAGAATTGGGCGACTCCCCCATTACCATAAGTTTAATTGCAGTAACACATTTCTGCAACCCTGTGAATCATCGTTTACCTCTAGCATCATATCTCAATTGGAAAAATTCATACCTAAATATATATTTACATGTAAAAATTGTATTTATTTTATCTAAAAGTGATATTTATAAATTAGAAAAGCTGAAACAAACGATACATTGTTTCCATAGCGTTGGCTATCCGTTCAAACACATTTTTTCGCAAACGAAACCTTCTTTTGAAATCGCTTGGCTCATAGATACAATTATCCGCAAAGTAATCGTTAACTAGTCGTCTATGCCCTTCCTCACGATCTCTATTAACACCGCACGTTGCGTGAGTAGTGGATCTGGCTGTAGTAGCATGTATGTATAATACCGGTACATCATACTCACGAACATATCGTCTTCATTGTTATCATCGTAGTACGGATGGGCTGGATCAAAACAATCCATATTTTGGTTGTGAGTTATTGAAAGAAATATGTAATTGAGAGAAATTGATGTATTTTGTAGGTAAAATTGATATAAATTATGTGTATTTATAGTATATATAAAACTTAATTTTTTTTTATTCGTCGGTGACCGTTTTTAAATGGTCGAAATTGTGACCGTTTGAAGAAAAAATCGATGCAAATTCGGCGTTTCCTCCCATGTTCACGATAACATCCGCTAACATAACACCAAATAATGGCTAGGGGGTGTTCCTCCCGTTATGACGCCGTTATTTGGATGCCACATTGGCATAACGTCCCTCCCCGTTGCCCACTCCGATCACTCTAAGATTAGCCTCATGTGTGCACACGTTAACTTGTATCATCTTATTAAAATTAAAAATACTAAGATTATCCAAATTCCCACTCAACGACTTTAGGCTAAAGGGTGTCATGCTCTTTTTACCAATGGTAAAAAGATGCCACATCGGCGCCACGTAGACTTTTACAATTTTCACATTTTTTACCTACGAAGTGTGGTGTCGTACCTATGAGTTTTTTTTAATTTCATTTTAGAAAAAGATTAATTTTTTTTTAAAACCATACTAAAATTAAAATAACATAAACTTAAAAATTACAATTTAAAAATCCTAAAAATTAAAAAAAAAACATGAAAATTAAAATTACATTGAAAACCTAAAAATTAAAAATAAAACATGACGTTAAAATTTAAAAACCTAGAAAAAAAAACAAAGCATCGAATTTTCAGTTGCGTTTCAGATTATATTTTTCCCAAATCGATGCATTCATAATTCTTGCCGCTTTTTGGTCTTCGGGGTCGAGATGCTTCACGTATTGCATTAACAACGTATACTCCATGAGTCGGACGGTTTCAGCCATATGCCTCTCCAAAGTTGAATTCAATTGGGTCATTTGTGTTATCATTTCTTTCAATCTGGCTGACCGCTCGCATCCGACTGAAGAATTTGAAGAAGTCGCTTTCCCTTTTCCTGTTGCTCGAGCTTTTGTTTTGTCCCTTCCCATTTTAGGAGGAGTCGGGCGTATTTCTTCAATGTCGTCGTCATCATCGTTAAGATTAATGCCTACGTGACCATCCGATGAGACTTGTTGCGAGCTCGAATATGAAGATGTCCGACTTCTTTTTGACGGATTTGTAATTTCTTCATGTGTTGCAAGTTCTCTCCACCTAACGCTTCTTCACATGAATAAGCTTAAAAGACTTTTGCATATCATCTTGGAACGTAGCGTGTGCTTTTTTCAACAAATTCGTTTCACTTTCTCCGCTAGCCCATTACTTCTCAAGGTTTGTGTAAATTTCATTCCATTGTGTGACGACTTTGTTCATAAGATTCCATTTGGAGTTACAGGATATGAATGAAATTTTATTTTGTTTTAAAAGATCACCCAACTTTTTTTTGTTAAAAAAGTCGCTTAACCCACTATAACAGTTTTAATCTCATCGTAGCATCATTTCGGTTTCTTATACCCAAATCTTTCAATCAATCGGATTAAATTCTTCTCTTTTCATCATTAGAACGAAAAAATTTACTCAACCAAACAACCCACCACCCCTAATGATTTGATCAATGTCAAACATCAAGAATTCAAGCTTTTGAGATCGTTCACCAATGTCTAAACCATTTCCGACATGAATCAAGTAAAAAACATTTTCATAAAATAGGAATATGTGATCTAAACTTATATACAAAAGAAAAACCCCTCTTGCAACTATGAATTCGTTGAAAGGGGCATCGATGTTGAGAGTTGCAGTGACAACTGTGATGTTTTTCTCTGCCATTCTAGTGGCAAAAGTACCAGATCCATCGCTGATATCAAATCTGATTCTAATTACACCGCTTCATAATGCTAAAACATCGTCAATCAAGAAATCGATTTTACCTCTTGATTTTACAAATCTTTGTTCTCGTTTCCATTGGCAAGATTAAAACATTCAACACAATTGTGATTTAGTATCTTCTTATTTAAACATATGAGATTCTTGCAACCTAAACCACTCCGACTGTAAATCTTTTCGCTAATATTTCTCCAAAGTGAAAGCGGAAAAGGGTGAAGACCAACCTTGGGGATTGTTTTCACGAAGCATCTTCTTCGTGACAAAGGCTCGCATCCTTTCAAAATAAGCTTCTGTGAAAGACTCTAATCATCAAGGCAAGCTCATAGATAGTTTCGCTTTCTCTTTTCCCCTTCGTCTTCTTCGATTTGTTCTTGTTTTTCAATGTACATAGTCATATACATACAAATCAGTAATCAATCATCAAGTTTTTTGGTTCGATTGATCTGAAAATGAAAATAACTAGTTGAGCTGATAAGAAGGGTAGATATGGTGAGGATATTTTAATGGAGACACAGTTGATGAGCAAACAATGGTCAAGACATATATTTTTTCCTTAATGCACAAAAAAAGGAAAAAAAAATTAGATGACCTTTTAAAACATACTCGATGGGCTAGTATGACATTTGACTTAAAATCAACTTATAAAATTTGATGAGATTTACAGCGGAATAAATTAAATTAAACGAGAGCAATTAGCTAGAAATTAAAGAAAGATTAAAGACAGGTAAAATAATGTAAAATGTCACCAACTATAGCCTATAGCCTCTTATTTATAGCCAAAAACTAGAAAAAGTAAGGTTCCATATATACATACACACACTGTGAATTGAACTGCATGATATACTGATATACTACATTCACTGGATTTCCACATCAATCACCTTTCGCTCAACTGTCTTCTTCGGAATGGAGATCAAGAGAACACCATTTTTCAAATCAGCTTTGATCTTCTCTTTCTCACAGTTATCCGGCAGATCAATGCGAGTTTGATAGGAGCTGTAATTCTGTCTAGTCCAGGAACTCTTGTCGCCTCCTTCATTCTGATCATCCTGCTTATGTTCTCCCTTGATAACAAGCATGTCATCCTCAACATACACCTTCAGATCTTCCTTGGAGAGTCCCGGAACGTCAAATCTCATCTTGATTTCATTCTCAGCATCCTGTATGTCCCATGGAGAACGAATGTTCCAAGCCGTACCAGTCCTCGTTGGGAACGCCATCGAGTCTTCAAATATCCTGTCCATCGTGTCCAGCATTTGCCGCATTGTTCTCATCGGAGATAATGGATCCAACAACCCTGCAACACCATAATAAGATCGTTTTTTAATTTACGTTTGGAAAAAACAGAAATGTTTAGATTTGGATGATTGCGTTTTGACTATTGACTTACCAAAAGGGGATATGGTGGTGGATGAGGGGCGGCGTTCTACGGAACCATTAGCAGAAGCTTTGCCTTGGTTGCTACTGACTTGAACATCGACGGAGGTATCTTTTTCTGCCTGAGCTCTGACGACGGGGAGTCTGCTGCGGGTTCGTGAAGGCGGAAAGAAGGCACAGCAAGGAGGTCTGACCGATTTGGTTGAAGGCTTGGAGATGTTGTTTGAGAGTAGAGGGGAAGAAGAGATCCCGCTTGTTGTGCAAGCCATTAGTTATTGGTAATATTGATGAATGATGATGATTCTTTATCCGTGGTTTGATAATCGAAGCATGAGGTTGAAGGTGTTTATATATACACACGCAGAAGGTTATGGCGAATTCGTGAATGACCTGGAGGATAGGAAATTCCCGGGCGTTCTAGAAATTGGTGTCTTGTGTCGCCTTTAAATTGATTTATGACAAAATTACAAGGTCTCTTTATTTTATTAGATTCTTACTTTTTGTCTATTTATGCATTGTTGGATTGTAGGATCGTTATTGCATTTGCAAGATCGGGATCGGGATTCTAAAATCCTACAAAATAAAATATAATTTTAATTTTTAATCATGAAAAGTATTTCAAACATTTAATTTTTTGTTTAAAAGTTATAAAAACTTAAAAATATCAGTCATAAGTCACTAACAAAAAATGATAAATGGTAAATTGGTAAAAGATAAAAGACATAAAATGGTAAAAAATAAAAATCATTTGCAAAAAAATAAAAAAATTAAGGGAAGGTAGGATCGGATCTCGATCCTAAGATCTTACGAGTCTACCTGCGATCCTATCTCAAATACGATCCGTTTACGATCCGGATCGTCTTTCATACCTAGTATCTTACGATCATGATCGCGATTTTGACAATCATGCATTTATGTAATTATGACTTAATCTAATTATTCTTTATATTTTTTCTATTACCTTTTTAACCCTCTGCAATTGGTAAATTTTTCAATAATTCATTATATTGCACACAATCTTTTTTTTATTACAATATTATAGAAAATAACGACCAGAAAATCTGATTTGAAATAATCCAAGAAAATGTAATATCGATTCAAGCCAAAATCCAAAGAGTAAAATCACATAATATCCTGCTTTTTGTTTGATGATCTTTGAGAAAAATCTTGCAGAAAATGTAATAGCTAAAAAGTGTTTGATTGTCAAACCGAATTCATGCATATATACAAAGATGGTAGTTAAATTCGGTTATTCGACGGGAAAGTATCATAGCTTGTCTATGTTTGATAACGGAAAGTCGCACCTATTGTTACCAACAAAAGCTTGACATTTTGGCGGGAAAATAACAAACAAATATATCCATTGCATATAGATATTATTTCGAGATAGGGTGCTGACCCACCTTGACCGCGCCCGTTGCCCATTGGAACCCATCATAGTCGTTGCCCTGAACCTGTGTTCCCGAGATCATGTTAACTTGTCTATGTGTGCACTCTGCACCTCCAAGCTCGTATCATAGCTAAAATGAAACTCAACTTTTCTTGAGTTAATCCCGGTTATACTAGGTGCCTTGATGAAACTAAAATAACCAATATCTCTCCGTTATCCAAAAATCACAAAATTTGAAAACTTCTTGAGAAGTTGTAAAATTCGACGGATGTTTTCCACTTTTAGCTAGTTTATCCATGGTACTCTCTTTTTCTCCCTACTCAAATTTGCTTATCACATTCCATCTTGAGTTTGACGAGGGTGTAAGTGTTTGTGTAAGGATTAGGATTTTCTTTCGTGCCATCTCCATCACTTCTTTGTGCTTTTCACATTCCATCTTGAGTTTCAGGAGGGTGTAAAGTGTTTATGTAGGATTAGGATTTTCTTTTGTGCTATCTCCATCACTTTTTGTGTGTTTATCTTTATCTCTTAGAGCCTATATATTAAACTTGTAATCTAAACCTTTAATGCAACTTGAGAATATACATTACGAATGCGACAACAGTTTTGAAACCACGATCTACGCTAGCTACTAGTACTTACTTCAAGACCAAGGTTTCTTTAATAATACACTGTGTAATTAAGCAATATATTCAAACCTCATTTCACCAATCAAGTAGCAAAACTGTCATCATTCACAAAAGCAAGAGATTTGCCCCACCATCGCTAGTTATAAGATAAACTCAAACCAAATTCTTTATGAAACTTTTGTTGCACATAATCACTATATATTGACGATTCTTACAAGTAATTGCTACAAGAACAGCATCTCAAATTTCCTACTTTTATAGTTTTAGACCTGTTGACTACCATCTTCAAGCCTTTACAAGTTACAACCAACCTCATAACTCAAACTCATCTTCAAGCTTCAAAGCCTCAACAGCAGCTTCTTCCTCTTCATCATCAATGGCAAAGTAAGGATTGTGCGTCTTGGGTCTAAAGTTGTATCCAGTAAACACATAGAAAGCAAGTGTAGCCAATTCAGCTAAGAAAACACTTGTCCAAGCATACTGATACGAAGTAATCATCTCCAAAAAATAAACCGCCACCCTTGTGAAGTAAACGTAGCATATGACAACAACATAGTACTGCCTAAACAATGTTAATTTCATCAAATTCACAGCCGCCTTTCCATCAGTCATAGCAGCCTCTCGCAGATTCTTGATCGACCAAATAATCGGGAATAAAACAGCACAACAACAGATTATGTCTACTAACAAGAAGATTTGTCTCCATGTAGATAAATCCTGTCCGAATGGACCCGTTTCATCAATCACCACTTGAGCCAAATTGGAGACGACTTGCAAGGGGATGACGATCATCAACACATTCTTTTCTTTGTCTTGTAGGTAAGGTTTCAAGAAAGACCAACCAGTGCCGATGAGAACAATCAGAGTGAAGAGTGTGATACCCTTTAAGAAACTAAAGATGTAGAACAGAACATCCCAACCATGAGGTGTGCCTGATCTTTTAATGTAGGATTTATCCTCGGTTTCGCATAAGAGATTTAGGGCTTTTAAAAGCAACACGGCTAACATAAAGTAATGGATTCGATAAGCTGATGACTTCCTGTGGTGCAGCGTGTAGATCCATATACCGGAAAGAGACGCATAAATCAAGAAAAACAAGAAATAGATTGAAGGGAGATTTGATTTACCGGCGGATAAGTAATCGCGGCGGTTGTTTTGGGGGCTTAGATTGTACATGACGGAGAGGACGTTGACGGAAACTTTGATGCCGCCGGCGCAATTGGCAAAAACGAGTGTGAATTGATTGGTATCGGTGACGTTGAAAACGGCATCGTAGGAAGGCGTTGTGGTGGTGGGTTTGAGGTGGTTGAAGGTAAAGACGGGTTTGACGGCGGGGGAATCGAGAGGGCAACGGATTTTCTCCGATTGGAGTTGTTCGACGACATGGATCCATGAGTCACGAGTACACAAGAAGAATCCAATTCTGGAAAGATCGGGTTCTGGAGGAGTGAATGAAATTTGAGACAAGTTGAGGTGGAGACGACCGAAGTGAGTGAATCCGAATTCGTCTATCGGAATGTTGATGTTTGAATCGGATCGAATCTCGGTGAACCGGATTTCGGCGGAGGTGAGAACGAAGAGAAGAAAGACGGCGGCGATGACGACGAGGGAAGACACAGACACCCGGAGAGAACCCATTTCTTGTTATCGAAGGCAACGTGAATGGGTGCTGACGACTTGACGTTGGAATATATGAGAGGCTCAGGCGGTCGACGGAATGAGCACGGCCATTGACTTCTGAAGTCAAAGATTGTAGAATGGACGGCATGGACACGGCGATGACAAGAAATAACATCACAACAAACATCGGAAACGACGACGTTGCAACCCCATGGATTTATGTCTTTAACTTCTTTGAACCTTTTGTTAATTTCCGGTTAACCCAATAAAGAAGTATCCAATCCAAACAAACCAGTATTAAAAATTAATCTTAGGCTAAATTATATTCTTCATTACTGTGGTTTTTATTTTGTTACAATCTATGTAATCACTTGGTATGGCTTGGCAGACCATGTGGTGAAGTCTCATACCAACCAAGTTCTTCAAATCTTATTTTTCTTGTTGGGCTACCACAACACATGTGTGCTTGATCTCAACATCAATTCTTTCTTAAGGTTTTGAGCCCATTAAACATTCCAGGAATTGACTACAAGTCAATATGGCTACATCGATTTGGGAAAAAAAATAGGGCATCATACCAACCAAGTTTCTCAAATCTTATCTTTCTTGTTGGGCTACCACACATGTGATGTGTGCTTGTTCTCAACACCAATTGTTTCTTAAGGTTTTGAGCCCATTAAACATTCCAGGATTTGACTACAAGTCAATATGGCTACATCGATTTGGGAAAAAAAAATAGGGCATTTGAGACATTGCTCTACAATACAATACATAGTTTTAGAGTTTTATAAATTTACCTTAAAATTTTGTTAGTTAGACTTTGGCCATAAATAATCTAAAATTTTAGCCATGAAGTTTTTTATTTTAAACTTCTACGAAACTTTCTTATTTTGGCATATTTGATCCCTAAACTTCCGTACGTTCGCACTTTCTACCACTTACTTTGTCGAATGCCATTTTCTATCACCTACTTTGTAAAATATCACTTTTACCCACTTAATTTTGAACACCGATATTTTCATCTCTTACCTTTCGTATCTTTGCAGTTTGTAGGTTTCACATGTTTGGTCTCCACGTACAAAACAAATTACAAAAACGGTCCTTGTAATTTACATAATAGGTCCTTGTGCATAATTTTATTTATAGGAATTGTGTATATGTTAAAAAATTATATAAATGCCCCTTCCAAATAACAAATTTTAAAAAGTGAGCGTTTATCCCTACATAGAAAATGAATTACGAAAATGGTCCCTGTGATTTATTAAGTGTATGTATGTATGTGTAAAATAAGTTGACGAAACAAACCAATGTATTGATTTATTAAGTTATGTGAAAGATGGAATGGAAAAAAAATGTTGAATGCCCAAAAAATGAAGAAAAAAAATGAAAAAAAGAAGAAGGTATTTGGTTCGAAATAATCCCAAAGGCAACGGCTGAAAAGTAATCCCAAAAGCATTACCCACAGGCTTTCCATGAATTTGTGAATCTTTGGAAAATCAATGAGTAATACAACTCAGGTTACCCACAAACCAAAATCATTTTTCATTTTTCGAACCTTTTTTGCTACCTATTTCATATCAATCAGTTTACTTTTTTATATCATCAACTTATTATCCATGAAAATGAAGTGTCATAGTTTATTGACTTTTCTAAATTAATAAAATTTTAGTTTTCAAAATTCATAATGGAAATATAAAGTTTCTAGATTATATAATTTTTATAAATGTTCAACTCTTATGGATTACCTTATTAATTTTTAGAATCCATAATAGTTTAATTCAAAGCTAAAATTTAATTTTTTATTCTAATAAAATTTCAAAATTTTAGCCCAACAAAATTATAATAAATTAGTTAAATTTAAATAGATTGACAATGTTTGCTAAAAGGGATTATTAAATAAATTTAAGTTAATGATAGATAATAAACATAATTTAATCAATTGATTTACCATTATCTAAACTACAAAAGAAATGTGAAACATCCGAAGGTATACAATTTTAATGTAATTTTGGAGTTTTTGGGTGGCCACGACGTGACGAGTTGGGTGTCACGACGTGGCATGGGCCGTTATTTAGTTGTCACGACGTACCCTTGAGCAAACCATAACCTCCTTGAAGCTTTTGAAGCTCATTTTGCATATTGTGATGTTCTTGTAGGAAAAAGAAAAGAGTTTGGTGCATAGATCCAATAAAGAACTCATCTCCAACCTTGTGTGCATCTTATGGACTCATTGTAAGTCCTCAAGCTTTCACCTTTTTGTGGTCCTCTTCTTAGATATATGTTTAGTGTCATGATTTGACTCATAAGTGGAGTTTGGATGGTTGGAAGAGATAAAGTTTGCAACTTTATGGCTCTCCATAGTCCCTTAGACATCATATCTTCTAGATCTAGGATTTGTTGTAGTTTTGGTAATCATGTTTGAACTTTAGGTCCATTTTCTCATAATTTGACCTAGATTGGGGAAGGACATGCATGGGGCATGCATGTCCATAAAGTTGGGATTATTATGAGCCCTTTAAGCCCCTAGAAACCTTCTGGAAGGTATGGGCTAAGGACTTAACTGATTAAGAGCTTAAGCAAATAAGTTGTTTCAGCTCGTTCCCACGACGTGGCGAGTTGGGTATCACGACGTGGCGAAATTGGAAACCGTGATTGTTTTGTCAAAAAGTTCCCACGACGTGCCCAAGGGATAGCCACGACGTGGAGGTCAACTGTCGTCGACTTTGACAGATGACTTTTGACCAGGGTTGACTTTTAGTAGATGCTAGTTTTAGAAGGTAGACTAAGGGTTTGCCTTGTGTAATTCGATAGGTGGTGTGTAGTACCCACTTATTGGTTGTGTGAGATGATTTATGTTGATTACGTTGAGATATGAATCTTCTCACTGTACTATGTAGGATGCTAGTTGCCTTTGTCACTCTTGCATTGTGTGTTGGGTGGGGCCCGTTTGTATGTTGGGTGGGGCCTGATGTTATTTATGGTATGTGGTATTTTGGGGAACTCACTAAGTTTTGTGCTTACGATTTTTGGTTTAAATGTTTCAGGTACTTTTGGTTCCAAAGGGAAGGGCACGACGTGATCGCACAACATCCCCTTGATTGTATTTTGCACTGTTATTTGACTTACTCTAATGTTGAGGATATTTTTACTATGTTTGGTTATAGAATAATTGGTTGTATCATTTTGGGTGTTTTGAAAATAATTTTTTTACCAGTATTTTTGGGATGTTACAAAATGATTAAAACAAATAATAGTGGAATTATTAAAATGCTATGTTTAAGGTTTGTTATGTAAAGGTTTGGAATTAGTTATTTTGTTAAATTAAATACTGATGTTTGATGAATAGTTATTAATTTACCATGTCATTGAATATAAACTGGATGTACGAAAAGAGATCATCGATGACCTTTTGTTTTATTTGAAATGCCACGGTCATCTCATGTTTTTCCCTATTTTAGATTATGTCATCAAAGTCAATGTTGGTGTTTAGAGAGAAGTCGAGTGTGAGCTAACATCTAAAGTTCATTACAACAAGGGCATACGTAAGTTATCTTTCTCCATTTTAGATCGTCAGTTTGGTTTATTTTTTCCTCAGCCTTCATTATAATACCAATCTTATTGTTTTGGTAAAATATAGGAGCGTATCAGAAGGCAATGCATGATAAGTATGGAGAGGAGCCCACTCAACATCCGTTTGGTGATGTTGGATTATAGGAGCAATGTTTGAGCGGGAGAAAGAAGGGCCAAGGTTTGGAGGTAGGAAACTCGTATCCTTGTTTTGCGGTCTGACATCTTCCACAGATTACGTGTTATCACAACAATATATATATATATATATATATATATATATATATATATATATATATATATATATATATATATCCGCGCTAAGCGTCGGGCGGCAAAGAGTTTCTTTCGGAAGATAGTTTTAATGTGATGATTAGTTTCCTTTAGACGTGATTCATTGAGGCCATTTGGTAGACTATTTTGTGTCGAATAGTTCATTTCAACGGATAGTTTCTTGCTAGGTGCATAGTCATACAATACGATAGAAGTTGAGTCTACATTTGGAATTTCATCTAATAGTTCATACTTGATTTTACAATATATAAATAACAACAATCTGCAATCATGTAGTTTTGTACATTTATAACATGTCCAATATATAAACTACACCAATCTGCAATCATGTTGCTTCATCTGCTAGCTCTGCGTTAAACATCAAATGAGCATCTAAGATATATATTTGAAGAAATTGTAAAATAATAAGTTGTTGATTGTACCTTGTTAATCACATAAAACTTCTTTGTACACAACGTTTGATGTGTAGATTCCATCATTATCAAACGTTTTTTTCCGGCTTTACTAATACCTTGGTATTGAAACTAAGCTGAATTGGAAACTGCTTTCTCTTTAGTTTGAATGGGAACATCTCATCGTCTGATAGACATAGAAGAATTCTTGGTAAAAACACTCGTTTTCCAGCATGTTGGCCAACAACTATCTCTGCATCAATGACATTTTGTTGGAAAGCTCGACATATCAATCTAGTGCCATTACATAACCCATTTGAAGGATCAATATTTCGCAAAAGAATTATTGGGCACCCAGTTTTCATCAACACTTTCATTTTTAGTTGACAATATCGCCCTCGAAATGATAAATTTTGAATCGGCGCCGTTGGATTGCAAAGAAGGAAATATTGCATCAATCAGAGCGTCCACTGAATTAGGTTTATCAGTGTATGTAATTGACATGTTATCAGGTATACGAATAAAGGACTCGTCCAATGTTTCCTCCTTTCCATCACCGACTTGTAATAAAGAATCAGAAAACCATGGGTCATTTACCGCTCTCATGTTGATATTTAATCGAAGCCTTTTAACTGAAGCCCATAGAGGCGACATTTGTAAGCTAGAGTCCACAATTTGTGCTCGAGTGCCACGTATCACGACCGACAACACTTGTCTAAAGTCACCTCCCATAACCATTATCTTTCCACCGAAAGGGATCTTCTC